CCAACAGAGGAGCACTGGGCAGTTGTACAGAAAAAAAGGGATGAGTTTGAGAACTGGAGTAGCAGAAATGAGTTGAAATCCAACAGTATAGCATGCAAAGCCATACACTTAACAGCTAATACAAATGTTCAGAAATAACCAACAAGTGGGCACATCTACATGTTCATTAATGTGCTTTAGGTAATATGCATTACATTTACTACTTCCATTGCAAGGTACTAGAAAAAGGGACATTTGTCTATTTTATTGTGCATTAACTAAAGAGCACAGGTTTTCTGTGATACTTTAATGCACTTTAAAATAGCCTCATGCACATCAGAGAGTATGTGTAGATACGCCAGGGATGGACCTGGATGCACTAGTCAATTGCAAGATAACTGAGCTGCCAGTGTAATGCAAGCATGAAAAAGGCAATTCTGATCTGATGGTGCATCAGAAAATGAATTTCAAGTAGAAACAGGAAGTATTAGTGCTATTTGCACAAGGCGTCTGTGAGATTAGAGCTGGAATACAGCATACAATTCTGGTCAGTGGCCTTGAAGAAAGATTATTTGGTACTGGAACAAATACAGAGAAGGGCAATTGGGGTGATCGTGTGAATGGAAAGCCTCTTTTACAGGATGCAGTTAGAAGGGCTTGGCTGTTTAGCCTAGCAAAACAAGGTCTAAGGATATAATTACTACTTATAAATATATTGGAAGTAAATAGCTGGGAAGAAAAAAAGAAATATTTAAGCTAAAGGATAATATTCACACAGCATCATATAGTTAAAACTGCTCATGAATTAACTTGGGCTAGAAATCAGAAATACATTTTTAACCATTAGAGCCATCACATTCTGGCTCCCAGTGCGATTAGTGAGGACAAACAAATTAAGCTCCATCTTAAAAGCAGTTCTACAGTATCATGCCGGTGATGGCAGGGAACTGGACTGGATGACCCGCTAGGTCTCCCTGCTTTGTCAAAAACTGAAAAGATACATGGTCCACCCGAAAGATATGTCTGCATTTGAATGATTAATAAAAGCAAAACCAGTTTCCAATGGTAAGATAAATGAGAAAAATAAATGATAGAAGCAACTGCCTTCACACACAGAGTGTTGACCAATGCTGTAAGTTAAACTTTACATTTGTCATAGGGTTTTAACTGCACTAAATAAAATAGAGTGATCTTTAAGTAATACAATTTTGTTTCTACCTATTTTCATTACTTTTGTGCTTGCATTGCCTAGAAAGATCAGGTCAATATGCTAGACATTTTAAAAGTATAATAAGAAACAGTACTTGCCCTGAAGTTAAATAGAATAAAGTATTGTAACCCTTCTGCCAGGCACTGGTCAGCAGCAACAGGGGCCAGGTTCAATTCTGGGGTACTAAATATATTTTACTTTGGCTCAAACTCCCACCCAGGCAACCTGAGAAACACTAAATGAATTACTAGGATGTCCCACAAACAAAACCCCCTCCTCACAAGCAGTATAACTGCAAACACCCAAGTTTATTATAGAGAATACAAAACAAAAGAAAACATTAAATATAATTTTAAAACAGTATTAACTACAAAACAAAAATTGCAAGGGGCTCTGTTGCTCCTGGAGACAGTGGAGTGCTGACCTCCGCTTCCGCATGGTGGCTTTGAAGAGTTAACTCTGGTTCCTGTCAGCATACCGCACCCCAAAATTCCTAGTCCCAATCCTAGCTCTCCTGGGCAGAACACTGCAAAAAAACTTGGAGGAAAGGTCAAGTCTACCTCGGCTCAAGCCTGAACTACATCTAGCGATCAACCACACTGCTTGGTTGGGATATAAACTACAAAAAAGACAAAAGGAAGTTCAGGCTTATCTCACTGGGCCTGAACTGCGCAGCAAAAGCTGGCCAGTCCTATATCACACTGAGGCCTGGATCAACATGTGCCAGGTCTCACTCTGGCTCAAACCAGGACAGACAGGTCTCACCCCATCCCAAATCTGCCAGCCAAACATATGGCTAAGGTTCAGCTGCGCAGCTAGGCTGAAATGCAACAACTGTAAAACAGCAAAAAGGGCCTGGGACTCTGACTGTAGCCTGGACCACAGGGGCCAGTAACTGCCAGGACTCATTGGCCATGGCATTAACCCACTCAAGGAACCAAAAAAAAAGGGAGGGGGGGGGGAAAAAGAGGGAGAAAATAGGAGTCTTAAACTCCAAGATGCACTTTATCTCCCTGTACATGATGCTTTCCCATGTCATAGCT